TGGAGAATCGTAAATCTCGTTTGTGTGTTTGTGTAATCATCGTGAGACAAGCTGGCATCTTACACACACACGTATATGCATTGATGATATATACAATACAAGCATTATGTATGGTTTAAGCACATGCCCGTAACATACGTACGTTACTACCCACGAAGAACCTAACCTATTGATGCAAATTATAATAGCTTTTAGTTTGACTAATCACCGTGTTATATAATTAGCGTTTAGAAAACATATAAGATTAGTTTTGGATGGAAAAAGAACAAAAGCTAATGATGATACACTATATCAGAAACATTTTATAATAAAATGGAAAAAGTATATGTTTACAAATGAGTTGACTTTGATAACTGATCACTGGTTTTTTGTTTGCTTTTCGGATTTTGTTCTAAATACAACTAATGTTGTAATCATCATCACATCGACTAAATTTTACTTACTTTAAAGGTGGACCAACGTGACATGTCGTGTCGCTAATGTAATGCTCGTTTCTGTTCCGGTCTTGTTAATGTTAAGAACATTAGAATGATAACGAAATCTGTTAATGGTCGAGTTTGATTTAATGTATGATTGCATAAATTAATTAATAAAGCTCCTTACTTAAGGTCTTTTTTTTATCTTTGAGTACCTCGAATTACATTGATTTTACTAATTATTATGTAATCATCCAATCAAAAGATAATATGAGTCCAGAGATTTGGATAGCAAGAGAATGAGTATACGAAAAATGTCATATAAAATGAGAATCAAAAGATTTTTTTTTTATCAAAAAAAAGGGAAATTAGCATGAATAACACAAAAAAAAACTATAACTAAAATTCTAACAAATTAACCTAGATCTAAAGGTTCATGTTTTGCCACACATGATAATTTTTTTTTACTTTTTAATCATAATTTTTTTTTTGGTTAGTTAGCAAATTGTCCCAAAGAAAAATGTCATATAAATATTTTGTCTGTACATCTGCGAATTAAAAATAGCAGTGGGACATAATTCCATTAACTTATTGTAGTAGTAGTTAGATGTTTGTTGTCTGATCTCTATTTTTATTTATTTATATTCTGAATATTCATTTTTAATTCGGGTCCTATTTTTGTTTGATACATAAAATAAATATAAAAATCTCAACTAATTGTACGTCGCTTTTGCTAAAAGCTTTATTAGGTGGGAAACTTTATTTGCTAGTTACAAAATGTACACTCTATATTGGACGTGTTTTAGTTTTAATATATTATGTGACGTATCACATGTATACATTCCATTAGACTAAAAAACAAACAAAAACTCCAAGCAAGAAAACATAGAAAATTACAAATTATTTTTTAAATCTCTATTCAAAACTATTGAATTGTTTGTCTTATATGTTGGAACGTTCAACATCCGGTCTCACGAATAACTCAGAGAATATTAGAGTTTAATGTATTTTTTTTCTTTTGTTATGAATATTCGAAGATTCACCTCTATTGAGTATTGACTAGTCGTAGGTGGCTAGATCAATTTATCCGAATATCGTGACAAGAAACAATTAGGCTATATGTTAATATCATAATTAGTATGAGTTTCTCATGAGCTCTACTATGTGTCTATGTATAGAATCATTTACGGGTTTAT